CTCCTCCTCCTCCTCGCGTGTCCTCGCCCACGGCGGAGCCTGGTTGACGCGCACCTTGGCTGCACGGCGGCTGCCTTTCTAAGCCTCGCCCCTCCAGCGCGCTTCTCTTGGCCGGCGCCACTCGGGTCGGACGAGACGGGAGAATCGGGGAAGTGGGGGCTACGAGCTCTGCCGCACGCAGCTGACCTCGGCCCCGCCGCTGGGCGCCATCCTCGGTACTACCATGTGCTCGGGACCGCCGACGTGGGTATGGAAAGACTCGGCACGAATGCCGACAGCAAGTCCTGCCTACGTTGAGCAGGACTCGCTGTTGGTGTCGCCGCGGACGTTGCCCGATTGAGACAGAAGGCCGTCTGCCCAGCAGCGGCCGTTGTCGGTCTTGGAGAAGGCTTGCTGCTGGGCATCGTGCCGATGAGTTCCGTACCCGCATCAGGCGTGCCAATTGGCGCCTCCAGAGCCCAGAGGCGCTGGGCAAACCAGCTTGCGCGAGCTGGCTCGCCAACCCTCCTTCTGTTTCAGCCGCGCGCAGAGGGGGGTGGGTGGAGGGGGGAGGGCTCCTTGGAAGCACGCCTGTTTCTTCGAAGGCGCGGGCCGTCTTTACAGACGTGGGCCAGCGCCTTCTGAGAACCAACCTCTTTCCAAAGAAGCCCTTCCTTCTCCCCCTACCCACTTGTGCGCGCCGCCGACTCCTTCCGTCCGACCCGACGCTCCAACTCCTCCTCCTCCTTCTTTTTCTCCTCCTCCTCCTCCAACTCCTCCTCGCGTTGCTCTTTCGTCGGCGGGAGCGAGAGTAGGGCGAACGGCCCAGGGAGGAGCACTGCATGCATTCATGGGGCTCTCAGATCGCCCCTCGTCTTCGTCGAGGCCCTCCTCGGCGCATCCCTGCAAGTCAGGAGTGGGAACAGACGCACAGACACAATTAATCGTCGACTCCCAGAGAAGGTGGGGAACTATGGGAAGTGGGGGGGGGGAGGGGAAGCGAACGCCGAGAAAATACGGAGGACTCCTGGGCTCTGTGTGCATTTCTTTGCGTGCCCCTGTGCCCCTTCCGTGATGCTCGCTCCCGGGGCCGTCCGTCCCCCCCGCCCCCGCCGAGCTCGTCGCCTCGCCACGGCTTCGCGGCGCCCGAGGCGCCCGAGCTTTCCCCTTGCAGAGAGCGCCCCGCGCGGCGCCGTGCGCTCGCCCGCATCGCCCCGCACTTGCGGGGGGTCGGCGGCGCGGTGGCGCTCGCCTCGGGGAGAAGGCGGACGCGGGAGGGGCCGGGGGCTCGAGGAACGCACGGCGGAGGCGGAGGAGGAGGAGGCGGAGGAGGAGGGGATCCCTGGGGCCATCGGGGGCCCTCTTGGCGCCGTCCGTGGCCGTCTTGGGGCCAGCGTCTGGGCTGTCTCGGAGGACCTGTTGGACGACGTTGGAGGCCATGCAGGGCAAACTTGGCCCACTTGAGGAGGGCTGGGGTGGGGGGCTGTGTGTGGGGGGGGGAAGCAAGACTGAGCAAGTCAAGGAGCAAGAGAGGGAGAGCGACAGGGAAACCATGAAGATAATGATACTGCAGCAGCAGAATGAGGACGAGCAGGGTGAAGAGGAGGAGGAGGATGACTAGCAGGAAATGGAGGAGGAGGACCAGTGCAATACACCCTACCCCCAAGTTCCACTTTCACAAGCATCTAAACGAGTTCTTTTCCACTGAAGGAAGTGTCCCGTTGGAAACAACCGTTTGAACATCCAGAACTGTGCCAGAACACCCTTCCGGGGCCGTCAACGCCGCGAATAATTGTTACTGTTACGTTTTGACGATCCTAATTCGTGCAAGAGCGCCGTTCTTGGGACTTCAACACAACGAATCGACGTAATTGTTGCGCCCTGACTGTCCGACATCGTGCCAACACATTATTTCTGGGACGTTCGCCTTCGAATCCTCGAAACGGTTGTAAACTCTTACAACGGATGTGCGCGGCGCTCAGGCGAGAACCACAATTTGAAACGACCCGCCATACATCAGTGAACTTCGGCAGATTTGTAAGACAAGTATGCGCGGCGTTGTGGCGAGGGCGGCATCTTTAAAATGACCTGCCCTCCATCCGCGAAGCTCTTACATTCTCTAAGACGTGTGTGCTCAACTCTAAGACTTGAACCACATCTTGAAAACTATGTGCCTTCCATCCGTGACACTTTCGTACTCTGCTAAACGCAGATGCGTGGCGCTAAGGCGAGGTCTACATTTTGAAAACGACCCGCCCTCCATCGGTGTAACTGTTGCGCGTTTTTAAGACGGGTGCTCGCGGCGCTGAAGCGAGAGCCGCATTTTGAAAACGACCTTGCCCTCCATCCGTGAAGTTGTTGCAACAGTTCTAAGCTTCAGGTTCGTGAGTGATCAAGATGTCTCAGGCGAAACGCCCGGCCCGCCCTTTCGACTGACCTCGGGGTGCGACAGGGAGGAGTTATTTATGAGGAGAAAGGATGACGGATGATGAGGATGATGATGGTGATGGTCATGATGATGATGCTGCTGATGCTGATGGTGGATGTGATGGTGATGCTGATGGTGATGATGATGGTGATGGTTCTGAATATGATGATGATGGCGATGATGATGCTGATGATGCTGATGTTGATCATGATGCTGCTGATGATGATGCTGATGATGATGAGGGTGAGGATGAGGATGAGGTGATGATCTGGGGGGTGATGATTAGGAGGAGGACGAGGAAGAGGAGGTAGAGGAGGAGGAGGAGGAGCGCGGGCGCCGCGCGCCAGGGGACTCCAGTGTCCTGCGGCGCTGGGCTACAGCGTCTTTCAGGGCGGCCAGGCCCCTGGACCGCGCTGCCCAGCCCAACCGTTCCGAGCAAATCGGAGGTGTCGTCATCGGCGTGCAGCATGACTGCTTATGGGCTCCTGCGCCCGAGAATCCAGCTGCCGCCGATCTGGGCCCCCGTGTCACGGAGGCGTTCGCCGAGGCCGGTCTGCCGAGCTGCCGTGATCGCGGCCGTGTGTGGGTCTCACTAGCGCCTCCACGGTGTCAGTCCCAGGCATGCGGTGCCTTGATTTTTTCAGTGCGGGGTCCCCGGAAGTCTCGATCCTTTCCCCAGGGCTGGTTTTTCATCCCGGGTCGTTTTTCGACAGTGCTGGGCCTGGCGAGTGCGACAGTTTTTGGACGTTCCCGCTTTTGACCTTCTTCTTTATGCTTTGTTTTGTTTGCTTCGTTTCTTTGTTTCGTTCTTGTTTTCCGTTGTTATTGTTTTGTTTCGTGATGTCGTTCGCTTTGTTTTGCTTTATTTATTTCGCTCGTTATTCTATGTTCCTTAGTTTCGTCTGCGAACGGGATCCTCTCGTAGAACCAGAAAGAAAGTTTCGATGTGTATTCCACGCAGTGTGAATCCATATGTAAATTGCCTACAACAGTAGTTTTCGTGTAACGCCGCGCCCAGGGATCGTTTCTGCGTTCCGCTCGCGCTCGGGATCAATTTGCAAATCGCCTTCCAAGGGGGTGCTATTTTCAGGCAGCGCCGAAGGGTTAATTCTATGTGTAATCCACACATTAGGCATCAATGTGTAAGTCGTCTGCAGAACGGTTCCCCTAGGAGGGGGGGCGGGAACAGTTTGGGGGGGAGGGGCAGTGACAATCAACAGGAATCATATCATTAAATCCCCCCAGTGGTCTTGTTTTGTCCCGCGCCCCCGCCCCCCGCCACAAAAAGGACGGCGGGGGACCCCGTGCTTATTTTTGTTTTTGGTTGTCCTTTGCCCCGGCGCCCCGCTTTCAATGGGGGGCCTTTTGCAGGCGATTTGTATTTTTTGTTGTGCGGGTTACGCATCGAATCCTTTTGTTCGGCCCCACATTGGGATTCCTTCTCTCGGCGATTCCATTTTTCATTTTTTGTGTGGGTTACAGGGGCAATCCGTCTGTGCGGCTTTACACTCGGCTCCATCGCGTAGGCGATTTACCAACGTATTCCCACTGCGCGCGTTGCACATTGAGTCATTTTGTTTAGCTTCGCAATATGATTCCTTTTGCAGGAGGTTTACACATTGATTCCTATTGTGTGGATTTCGCATCCAATCTTCTTGTGCGGCTTCGCAATCAGCCATGTCGTTTAGACGAATCGACTTTTTGCGTCTGGCTTTGCAATCGGCTGCCCTGGGCTGGCGATTCAGGAATTCATGTTTATGGTAAGGCTTGCACATCAAATCCGCCCATGTGGTTTCATGGTGGGGATCTTTCAAAGATAAGTTGCAAGTGTTCTATTGCGCGCACTGCGAATGAAGTGTTGTTGTGCGATGTGGTCGCGGACGATTCACACATATCCCCATCGCGTGGCTGGCGGCGGTCGACGAATACATGTGTACATCGATAGACGTAACAAGCAATATTTACCGAATTGTGAATATTTAACCGTACATACGTATGCGTATATGTGAATTTATACATTTACACAAGTGAGACGGTAGATGCGCACAAGTGCGTGGATAGACAGATCGGCCGACGAACGGTTGGATGTGTGTGTATATATATACATACACGTGCATGCACACACACACGCACACACACAATTTCTGGTGCGTTGAAGGATTGGTCGACGCATAGGGTTATGGGTCGGTGTACCGTGTCTTGTGTTCACATCGGCATATATGCACATATGCACGTGCGCAGTTATGTATGCGCATGTGTATACATATTTTGGTGCGTATACATATGCATATACATGTATGAGTGAGCTGCTACAAATGTAGATGCACTGGTACGTATGTTTTCCCATCGAAATATGTATATTGGCATATGCGTGGATGGGCCGAAGACTGGATGGATGGGTCGATGGGCACATGCATCGATCCATGCGGATGGCCGGGTCGAAGTGCGTATTGATCGATAGCTGGCTAGACATGTACACGGGTTGGTACACACACGCATATATATATATATATATATGTATGTGTGTACATTTATATTCACATACATGCACAGTGAATGGATGCACATATTTGCATGCACAACGGCGGGTCAATGGCTGGACCTGTGGATCTACAGGTGGCATATTGACATGTTTAGGTATGCGTAAACATACCGATGCAGTGGTATATGCTTGTGTATATATATATATAGCGACTTATATCTAACATGTACACATATTGATTTATATAAATTTGCTTACTGGTGGCAGATTGCGTTTACATACCAATCTAGATTTACATACATGTATAGTGGGAAAGAGAGAGAGAGAGAGAGAGAGAGAGAGAGAGAGAGAGAGAGAGAGAGAGAGAGAGAGAGAGAGAGAGAGAGAGAGAGGGAGAGAGAGAGAGAGCGGACAAGTAGGCGGACCAGGGTCCGTCCGCGAGGCGCACTGCAGTGCGACAACTCGCAAAACACTATTAGCGGCGGTGCAGCCTTAAGATACGAGGGCGGGCGACAGGCCCCCTCCCCCGGCGCAATGCGTCTGAAGCTACTGACGGCGGACAGACTGTGAAGATCTCACGTGTCAGACCGCGTGAAGAAGAAGGCCCCAACGCAAGTGGCGACGTGAAAAACGTGGCTAAGGCGGCTTGGCGGACCGCCGGTTGGGCGCTTGGCCGCTGCGCGGCGCGCAGAGACGGGGCACCCCCCGCCCCCGCGCCCAGGCCCCGTGGACGCGGTGCCACGCGGGCGCACGGGCTGGCGAAAAGAGAAAAGGTGCACCAGCTGGGAGCCGCATGGCCCAGCACAGTGCGCAGTGACAGAGTCCGCGGCGAGGCGGCGGACGGCAGAGGGGCGCCAGACGCGCCGAGGAAAAGGTGCACCAGCTGGGAGCCGTATGGCCCAGCACAGTGCGCACAGGCCGAGAACCCCAACAGGAGCGGCAAAAGCTAGCCGACAGCACAGCGGCACCAGCCGCTGCCAGCTAACCTTTAGCCCCCATTGGCGGACCTCGAGAGAGACAGAGTCCGCGGCCAGGCGGCGGACGGCAGAGGGGCGCCAGACGCGCTGAGGAAAAGGTGCACATGCTGGGAGCCGAATGGCCCAGCATGCGCACAGGCGGGGACAGTGCAAGGGTGCAGAGGAGGCCCTCACAGCGGATGCACCCGCTGCCCTTAAGGGAAAGACCTGTACCCCCTTAAATTCCCGATCGCATCACTGAATGCTGCTGCTCCCAATCACTTCGCCAGGAGCTGTGGCGGAATACGCTAATGTGATACAAGTCGACACGAAAATGCAATGCCGCGGGACCCTGCGAAAAAACGACCCCTTTTGGCAGAAATGGGTCGTTTTCTCCGGCGGCGCACATTCGTGAGGCGTG